CGACAAGCTTGAGTTTTAAAAGTTTTAAATGTGTTGCCTTCTCTTTTAGACATTCATAGGGGTGGCCAGTCCACGGGGCCGGGTCCACGGGTCGCAATTTCATGACCCTTGACCGGCCCGCATTTTCTAAGGGCCGCGGGTTTGGATCGTCCCTGAACTGCCGGTTCCGGGCCGATGCGGCCCGCTAAAAAATACATTGTCGCCGTCTTTCAACCCGTCGACCCGACCCGCCGNAAAAAAAAAAAAAATAATGAACCTTAACCGAACCGCGACCCTACGGTCCGGTTCAGGGCCAGTTCGGTCCGGGCCGGGACCGGTTCGCGGGTCGGTTCTCGGGCCTGTTCGACCCGTGGACATGTCTAGACGTTTATATTCAGAGTCGGGCTTCGAGTATGGACGTTTCTTCGGCTTCAAAGCATAGCTATTGAAAGTTTGTTTTCACAATCGGGCTTCTACGTTGAACGTTCCGGTGGCTTCCAAGCTTTGCTTCTGGACGTTTCTTTGCCTTCCGAACTTTGTTGTTAGACGTTTAAATGCTTCTTTTTCTAGTAACTTTTTTTTTACCACATGGATATTTTTGTATATTTATAATTTTTATTATTTTTTTTTCGGGCAACAAGTAGTAATGTGGGGCGACAAATAGCAATGGTGATATAAGGTGAATAAATGTGATATAGCTTGTCAAAATTAAAAGGCTTTGACCGGTCATGACGGGGAATTATTGACTGAAACTTCCTCATCAAACTAAGCCAAAAAATTTGAAATTTAAACCAAACTTTTTGGTGCAAAAAATCTAAGACAAGACCGAAATATTAAGTACAACCGGGCCGAAAATTTCACAACAGATTAGGGCCATTAGGCCTTCGGTTATCACAATAAGAAGAGACGAGATATAATTGTCTTGGAGGCCGGTTTTAAGAAAATAAAAGGGACGAAAATATGATAAGTCTCGATGGTCAAGGTAAAACAGCTTACGATACAATTGCACTTTAAAACGAAACGAATGATTATTCGCCGACTGACGAAAATAGACATTTTAGAATAATTTCAAGTAGACGAGTACATTTACGAAAAAATATACAACTTCAACTGATTAATTAGACGAGAACATCTAATTAATCTTATTAATATTACGAGCGTAGTCAAAATAAACGAACAAGCAAGTAATGCACAAAGCAAGTTAAATTAACACAAGCAATGCACAAAAGAGAAAAATAAAGTAAGATGAAGCACATAAATATAAAATAAGAGCAAGCAATTAATAAAATAAAATACGATAAATCACGAGAACAAACGGGACACTACACATGCATCGTATGAATTTGCACTAGTAACAACAATAAATCATGAATTCTATTGTTGTAGTAACATAATATTATTTACTAATTGATATATTTATTTTTCAATAATTTTCCATGTTTTATTTTCAAATTATACCCATTAGCTAAAACATAATGTTAAATATNAGAGTATTAATTATTCCTTAATTATATAAACATGTCTTTCCATTTTATATTTTGGGTATTTCTTTTTTTTCATTTTTAGTTTAGTGGATATTTTATTTTGGTTAATGGATGCAATTTTTTTATTAGTTTCGGGTTTTGGATGTCAACTTATATAATACGCTTATGATTTAATAAGCGACCCATTAGTTCTTCATTTAAATGTCATGTAATTAGTGTTTGAAATAGTTGTTGATTTCTTTTTTCGTATTTCTATTTTTTCAACATAATGTTTTTCACACTAATGCGAGAAAAATGACCTAACATGTGGTATTTCATGTTAAATAATTATTTAAGAAACTAACTTCACACACATTTTTTATTTATGTTTTTATTATGTTACCCACTGTGAGGGTCCAATCATATGTCACCATGTTACATATTTAAAATTTATTTGGAGTAAATAACAATTTTGCTTATTCTATTTTCTTAGTTTTTTTTTATATATATATATGTATCTATATAAATACAGTTAGAAAATATACATAAATTATTATGTAAATTTATTTTAGTTTTTAAATTTTAATGCCTTGTGTTTGAATAATAATTTTAATGCCTGCACTAACAAGTTTATGATTTATATTTTATGTAGATTGACCAAATTAAGTACATACAATATAAATCATAAACTTAAAACATTAGAAATACTAAAACAATTTAAAGGGCAAAGATCTATAGTGCATGTCTATTACATTACAAAATTATTTGCTTCTATATAAAAATGTATCTTAATTTTTGTATAATGTCATATTTATAATTTAATCATCCACATAAGACAATTATTTTACCAAATTAATTAGTCATAAACATTTTCAAACATAATGACATTAATGGATTGTAAAATTATGAAAACATTAAATTGTGTATCAAATTAAAAAAAACGAAAAAAAAAAGCTTTTTAATTTTCTCCAAAAAAAAACTTTGGATGAAAAAATTCCTTACAAAAAATATAGCAATATAGAAATTGGCTAATCCTTTTATATAGATGTAAATTGTTGGTATAACTTTTTTCTTTGATTGTATTAAAATTATGAATATCTTTTCTATTTTCTATTTTGTATTTGTTTTTTTTTTTTGCATTAATATATCCCTTCTATATAGAATAATTGGTATACTATTCGGCAATTTACTTCACAAAATTTAATATGAAAAAAACAAAATTGAGGGTAATAGTTGGTATCAATTGATGCAAGCCAAATGATGCACGATAAGTAAATTGAAGAGAGACAAATAAACGAACTATCCACGTTTTTTTCTCACATTTAATCAAACTTATTTTGTCTATAATTTTGTAAGAATGAGATGACATTTCTAATTTTCATTTTTAGGTATCAACGTGGACAACTGTTAAATCATATTTATCAATCACAAATAAATATTCTTTATGAAGACAATCACAGTTTATTATGACTTTTTCGGTAATAACATTCATTATTTAATTTATAAATTAATATAAGAATTTCATCCATATAAAAATTTTTATACTTATCCTTACGTTAATATGTCCAAATTCATTATACTTTTACAGTATGCAAATATTTTGTATCGAGTTTAGTACTTATTCTATACTCTTAGATAAAAGTGAATATACCTAATTCATATCGTTTATATTTAATTGTTTAATATGAGATAGATTAAGATGATTAATAAGTAACATGTTAATGACGATAGGTAAAAAATTTAAATTTAAATTACAATATAAATGCTAATAGATATAACCCATTGTTCTATTAGTGTTACGATAACTTCTTAGGCAAAAGAAACTTTTACCATATCCATATTATCATATCATTTTCAATTAAAATTTAAACTTCATGATTTTTTGACAATGTGTTAGTGCAAATGAAATTATTCCACATTATGTTAGTCTTTGTGTACGTGTCTTCAAATTTTATTGAATTTTACTTGAAATATTTGTTTAGTTAGCATTAAATTGATTGTTTCAAACTTCCAAAATGAATATTTGTTGAGTTTTTTAGGCACGATTGGATATGAATCCAACCAGTGTTACCAATTTTGTTTGGCTAAAATTAGTTAAAGTGAGTTAGTTTGAATAAAGTATAACAAGTGGATGATTTTGAGTTTGAAATCAAATAATATTTAAAATATAATAATTAAAATTGATGTGATGTAAAAGTATGAGAGAGATTATTGAAAGTGATAGGTAGTTAAAATTATGTTAGTAAATGAATTGTAATAAATAAAATTGATGTGATGTATGAGAATAATTATATATATTTATAAAAAGTAGGAGAGGTAATTTGAGTTAGATGATTGAATATGAAATAACTCAACCGATTATAACCGATTAAGACCGGTTATAACTTATATATAATCACGCCCTTACCAATTTATTTCTCATAATAAATATAATAAATATATATGTATGATCCTAACCATTTTTCACACACACACATATACTTATATTTAACTTAAAATGTATATCGTAAATAATATATTTTTGTCAAATCAACTTAAAGACATACAAATTCAATTAGACAAATTATATGGTTCACGTGCGAAGCACGTGCACCTTACTAGTAACCTAAAAAATGGATATCATGCTCGCAGACGTATTGGATGGTAGGTGTTGTGATGTGGCTCTTGTGAAGAATTATCATCTTTTCTTTTTTTTTTATTCAATTTTTCTTGGGCTAACAAATTGTGGAAATATGCAGGGTGGTTGAGTGTGATCTCTAGCATCTGAAGAAGAGACTTCATTTCTTATTCTTTGATATTTTAATCGGCAGTCGAGGAGCGGATTTAGAAACTTTACTATCAGACTATGGCTTACTTGGTTAGACCGCAATTGCCTTCGTATTGCAAATTGGGAGGTTGTGTCACATTGCTCATCCTATTTATATGAACACATACATACATAAATAATGACAAACAAACTAAGGCCTAACATGAAATCCTTTTATTTGGATTGTTTTATTATCCCCAAATAAAACAAAAAATGTGCCCAAAGTATCAAAATTGCTCTACCAAATGGGAAAAGAAAGTTATACCAGGACAGAAACCTCCAAGGGGATCAAAAAATGAATTTTTCAAAAGAGAACCTGCGCATCAATATAGAATTATAATCAGCACAAAAATTTAACTTTCCAAAGGGAAATTTTTAAAACTCAAAATCATGCAGTTTGGGAAGATTAAATTAGAAATGGTAGTGATCATGATGACAATGAAAAGCTTAGTAGTTAGCTGATTGCATGGAGATGAGAAGAGAGTTATAGAACTAAAATATAACTATATGCAAGAATAATAATATATATGAACTGAAATTTCTCCATCATTAGTACAACTCCTCCAATGGTCCAACCAATGATAATTTTTCTATTATATAATAGTTCTCTTATAAATTCTTGACTATGCAAAACTGACAACTGCAGCCCATAGATATTGCAAAAAGGACAATTAAGTATACCCCTCCAGAGTCATCTATAGAAGCATTGAAAAAAATATGAATCTCCTGATATAGGAAATGAAAACTCTAACCTGCATAAACTGAGTGACCAGCTTGGGCAACCAATACACTTGGGAATTATGCAATGATGTCAATTTCTTCATTCTGTAATAACAATGTAACATCTTCTCGATTATCTTGAGGTTGGATTGTTTTGGAGGGATTTCACCTTTGCCTGAAAATGGAAGCATAAAAAAATCTTAAGAAAAAGAAAATACTAAGTTTGCAGAAGTTACCTATGAGAAAATACTTATATTTTCTAGCCCGAAGCGGATGATTTACTTTTTTGTAGAGTTTCCAAACACTCCCTTACATAAAGTATTAGATGAAAGATACTAGAAAAACCTTTGCAATGTAACTTTCTTCTCTTTGATCCTGCAGCATCTTTCCCTTTAGCATCTTGGCTTGGATTAATGTAGTCGAGCAAATCTGATACACTGCCAACACAGTTATCAGTGATTCAGTAAGTTACGAATTTATGTAGTTTTCCTTTTCTGCTTTTTTTTTTTATTGACCGTGTTGACTACAATAAGACTCATGAACTAAATATAAATATTGTGATGGTCCCAAGCCAGGTATCCCACCTTATTCCTCAATGCAAACATAAAAGGTTGTATCTGCTGAAACTTTAACATGTCTCAAATTCATTAAATGCAATTCACCCAGAACCGTCTATTTACCTAAGGTGGCCCTTGCTGGCTATAGAAGCATCAGGCTTGCAAGTCCCATTTCTAGCAGCTTCTTGCTGCTCAAAAGCTTTGGATTCAAAATATTCGAGCCATGCAGCAGCATCCTGCAGGTTTCATACGTTGAGATGGTGTAATGGTTCATACAAATAAATAAGTAAAACTTCTTAACATGAAACTTTTCCATAGACTTCACAGCAGTAACACTATTAGAGTCAGAGAAGTTACTAGTTGAAGCCACAAACAAAAAAAAAAAACAAAAAAAAGGTGAGGCTAACAGTGTTATTTTGTAATGTCAGTGAAATATGAAAATCAAATTTTCTATTCCGCTTAATGTATGGTCTTAGTTATGCAGAATAAAAGGCAAAGAGCTGATACAATTCGCTTCAACATCTTCAGGGGTTGGAAAATACCAAATACCTGTGTGCGAAGGTCATCTGGTCCCAGCTTTGCCTGGAGTATTTGTAAGTTCGTTTGTTCATGTTGAACACTTAAAGGATATGCTTCCGTCAATGAGAGCGCAATTGCAATGGCGTGGTAACTGGCGGCTGTCTGAAAAACATTAACTGATTTAGTATACTTTTTCTGGAACATGCAAGCACTACAAGATTTACTAAATTCCAATTTTCACTTTCTGATTGAAAAGAGAAAAAAAGGACACTTCTAAAGGCCTAGTGGTGGTGTTATCATTGGAAGCTGGAAAGATACAACATTCGAAACCTGGTTCTTTTCTGTACACTGAAAAAAATAAAAAACAATAACCCATAAACAATATTGTAATAGTAAGAAATATGAGCTTATTAGCAAGCAACCTGAATATGGTCTGGGCCAAGAAGCATCTGGTTGCACTTCAGAGCTTTATGAAGATATCTTAGAGCAACGTGCACATTACCCAGTTCTTCCTCCATCATAGCCACATTTACGTATGTTGAAGCAGTGGTTGGATATGATGGACCACACGTGAGATGTAAGAAATACAAAGCTCGTTTCACATATCTAGATGATGGAAAATCGAATTACCACGTCAAAATATGTAAAACCAAAATAAATTGGAACGCCTCTTTGAACAGAAGGAAAGCTCAATGAACTTCCTACAAATGGTTATCGTCCATTGAAGCTACAGTCAAGCATATGCATTGTTTGAGACTTAAAGTCACAATATGCTCACGATATATCCATTTTTCGTTTAGGCTTGAATTTCCCTATCAAAGATCCATTAGTGCAACTCTACATGACGTAAAATCATTTAGACTGAAAGTCAGGATCTTTAAACACTAACTGATAAAATTATGGAAGAGTATAAACAGGAAGACATGTCGAGTGTGTCTTGAACAGAAATGCTGTATGCTACCGGAGCCTATATAAAAGAATAATGTACCAGATAGAAATAACTTGTTGTTGAAACAAAATCTTTGACTAACAATGGAGCTAATCGTCTCTATACAATCCAGGAAGGCAACATGTACTGTACATACGCAATAATAACAAGGGGCGGAGTTGTATTAGAAGGTGTAATATTACTACAAGCTGATGGGGACGCTTTTGTGAGATGGGAACTTGGAGCTTGCTGGATACAAGATAAAAAAAAAAAAACCGAAAAACAAAAGAAAGCCTCTAACGAGAAGGTCAATAATGAAATGAAGGTTGATGGACTAGGAATGCCTCTGAACATTCTTCCTTACCTCCATTAACAGTTGTTTCTATCACATTCTTCACTCCATCGGTTAATCTTTCAGTTTTCCATTTCGCCTTACCTCCATCTGAGTTCTTTCTATTTTTAAGGGACTTCAGAGGCATTCCTAGTCCCTCAACCTTCATTTCATTATTGACCTTCTCGTTAGAGGCTTTCCTTTGTTTTTCGGTTTTTCTTTGATCTTGTAAATGTTGTATCCAGCAGGCTCCAAGTTCCCATATCACAAACCCCATCAGCTTCTTCTCCCTCTAGCTTTGAAAGACTTTCTTCGAACAATCTCTCAACAAAGGCTTCAGAAGAACCAAGTTCTTTATACTCTCCCACTCGAGAACATAATGTTAACTTACTTTGTTCAAGCAATGCATTTTCATGAAGAAGTTGCCTCAAACTACAAATACAGTCAAAGTAAGAACCACAGGTAAATGAAGACCAAAGAACAAGTGATATCAAATTATATAAACCACAAGACAATAGAAGTACATACTACATATAATTGCATGATAAACTATTTTCTTTAGTGGATAAGGATATGACAGTTGTATAAGAGATGTATATTAAGAATCTGACTGCATGATAGTTAATATAGTATATAAGTATAACTACAAGAGAGAATATGTTGAATAAACCTGTTAATGTTAGGAGCATTAGCACCACCATCTGGCTGGTCAAGAAACTCTAGGCTTGTCAATGGGTGATTCACATTGACTTTGTCAATCCCTTCAACTTTCACACTCGCAATATAACCAAAATACCTTACGTTCACAACACCTAAGATATTGCAACCCTAGGTGTTGTGAACGTAAGGTATTGTGGTTATATTGCGAGTGTGAAAGTTGAAGGGATTGACAAAGTCGATGTGAATCACCCATTGACAAGCCTAGAGTTTCTTGACCAGCCAGATGGTGGTGCTAATGCTCCTAACATTAACAGGTTTATTCAACATATTCTCTTTTGTAGTTATACTTATATACTATATTAACTATCATGCAGTCAGATTCTTAATATACATCTCTTATACAGCTGTCATATCCTTATCCACTAAAGAAAGTAGTTTATCATGCAATTATATGTAGTATGTACTTCTATTGTCTTGTGGTTAATATAATTTGATATCACTTGTTCTTTGGTTTTCATTTACCTGTGGTTCTTACTTTGACTGTATTTGTAGTTTGAAGTTTGAGGCAACTTCTTCATGAAAATGTAACGCTGGAACAAAGAATTTGCTGCCTTCCAGTGCTGTGAAAACCTTTTCTGGAAGCCTCAATGAATAGCAATTTACCATTGCCCAATTTCACCTGCAACGAAAGAAGTATTGCATTATTTTAGTTATTTATTTATTGCCACACTATTTAAGCAAAGTCCCAACGGGTCTTACTTCAATAGTGAAAAGATGATCAGCTCCATTAATTCCATTGTCGGTTTTCTTCAATGCCACCTTTCTTATAACTCAAATGGTATCACCAAATAATAAGTGAGAGGAAAATCTCTCTGGAAAGGAACAAGAAGGCAAACTAAAGAAAATTTGTTTTCTTTTCTTCCTTTCTAAGGATCTTTACAAGAATCGATTCAATCTTCCGACACCAGAAATTGGTATAATTGCTAGAAAGATTCATGACTCCACATATGTGTGTGTGTTTTATGTTTTAGCATACACTTGCTAAATAAGTTTTCATCATTTGGCTGAAATGTTGACAATTCCTTTCAGTAAAATTTACAATTTCTGGCCAAAGAGACAGAGCTTTCTCACCTACGTGTTTTTGCAGATCTGCATTACAATTAGTTTTTAGCCACTAAACGTGCAACTTAGCAGGCTTTACTTCATCAGTTAGGCTCATTTTAGTTTTATTACCTAGGGTGCTGTTGATAGACAAGCTTGTCTGGCTACCGGAAAACTAAAAAACGCTTTTGTTTCCAGATTTCGGTAGCATTCATTCTACCAATTCTGAACAAGGAGATAAGAAAAACAACTAAAAAATGAGAGAGAAATTTACACTGAAGAGGAGGCGTGAGGTGAGAGAGAGAAAAGAACTCGTAGAAGCTTACCAACTTGGGAGAAGTATCGTTCATCTTTCCTTCTCCGTTGACCGCCGAAGAAGATCCTTCCGTTGAAACGGCATCCGCAGCAGCTGAAGGCGCCGCCGGTGGGGGACTCCCTGTGTTGCTCCTCGAGCGGGGGGACTTGCTCGATTTCTTCGAGCGGAGGCAAGTGTATACTTGCCTGGGCTTCAGCCCGGGTGAGATTTAGATAGTCAACCTATTTTTTCTAGAGCTTTTATAGTGAAAGTAAAAGGATAAAAAAATCATAAGCCCCTACAGCTTTTAAGCCTAATGGATATAGTTTCTTTCTTTATTTAAAAAAAAAAATCTTAAATAGTGAAAATCTTGGTACCAAGACAGAAACCTCCAAGGGGATCAAAAAATGAATTTTCCAAAAGAGAAGCTGCGCATCAATATAGAATTATAATCAGCACAAAAATTTAACTTGGCTTGGATTAATGTAGTCGAGCAAATCTGATACACTGCCGACACAGTTATCAGTAAGTTACGAATTTATGTAGTTTTCCTTTTCTGCTTTTTTTTTTCTTTTTTTTTTATTGACCGTGTTGACTACAATAAGACTCATGAACTAAATATAAATATTGTTATGGTCCCAAGCCAGGTATCCCACCTTATTCCTCAATGCAAACATAAAAGGTTGTATCTGCTGAAACTGTAACATGTCTCAAATTCATTAAATGCAATTCACCCAGAACCGTGTATTTACCTAAGGTGGCCCTTGCTGGCTATAGAAGCATCAGGCTTGCGAGTCCCATTTCTAGCAGCTTCTTGCTGCTCAAAAGCTTTGGATTCAAAATATTTGAGCCATGCAGCAGCATCCTGCAGGTTTCATACGTTGAGATGGCGTAATGGTTCATACAAATAAATAAGTAAAACTTCTTAACATGAGACTTTTCCATAGACTTCACAGCAGTAACACTATTACTCTTGGGGAACCAAGAAAAAGCATACTGTAGCTCGGGCCCGTTGCTTCTTCGCTGGGTCGTTTTTTTGTCTGTCAAAAATGTGAAAACAAATAGAATCTAAAAAACCTCTTGTGTTCTTATAAGGAAAAACAAAAACAAAATGGTAATACAGCATAAGATCTATTATCAAATAAAGATTATCAAAAATTCTGATATGTCCAATCCTCGAATTGTTGCAAAGGCATCTTAAATGCATCATTTATTATAGTGGTGTAATAAAAGTGAAAGCAATGAAAAAAACTCATAATAATGAAGAAAAAAACAACTAACCAATATTTTGAGGCACTTGCAGCCTGCTAGCAGATATATGCCTGGACTCGGGTGCGGGCTTATGAGGTTTATCAGAATTTCAGTTATTTTATTTTTGAATTTGGGCAATGATTAAAAAAATAAGTCCACCATTAACAAGCTTGAATTTGAAGCTTTTCTCTTTAGCAGAGACAGAGAGAATGGAATGTAGGGCGTTAATTTGAAGCTTTTCTCTTTAGCTGAGACAGAGAGAATGGAAGAAGGAAAAAAAGATGTAGAGACAGAGACAGAGATGTAGGGCGTGTTAAGGAAGGAAGGGTTTGTCAGAAATTGTAATGGCATTTTATAGCAGCTTCTGTCCATAAGTCGAAGGTTATCAATATTTTTTTCTCATATCATATTACTTTCAAGCTTAAGCCGGAAATGCTCCCTTGCCACGTGGAACATATATTAATATCCACGTCGTTTATGTGGAATGTACGCATTGGTAATTTTAATATGTTAAAAAAAATACATCACCAATGTGTACAAGCCACATAAACGGTGGGCATATTAACATGTATCCACCGTGAGTAGGAGAGCATTTCTCCAAGCTAATAATATACTAGTTCAATACTCGTGTGCTACGCGAATATGATAAAATAATTAAATGTACAATAAAACATAAAAAAAATTATATATTCTGTTGAAGTTGGAAAAAATAAATAAAGAACAATATTATCGATCTGAAATCACAATTGTATTTGTTGATTAATTGAAAATTGAAGTCAAAAGTCTCTTATAAATTTTTAAATGTATGTATTTATCTACCTGTATAGTTTTATTTAATTTTATTTGTTACTCATTCATATTTTCTCATTTAACTCTATTATCTATAAAAGAAATCCTGACAAGCATTGATGGATGTATAGGGCTTTCAATTTCCACATAACATTTGGTTTAATGACACAAAACTTTCTGTTCCTGCGCATCAGATACGCTGACAGTTGACACAAACAGAGCAAAACAAAAGATTCATATATGTACAATAACAATAAATTGTATATGACATTTTAAATTAAAAAAAAAAAAAAAGAAATTCATTTGTGAAACCTAATAATATGCTTTTTTAAAATCTCTTGTGGCAGAGGAAAAAATACATGATTAAAATGGAAATGAGGAAAGAGCTGCGGAATAATTGCCTAAAGAGGATGGTGAATAAAGATATTGAAGGACAGAGACAATTCAAGTAAAGATATTATTGATAAATATATATCAATAGCCTCAAATTCCAATAAATAATGTAATATAATTGACCCAAAGCTTTTCCGGCTTATGTAAGTGTGACGATAATATATGGGAAAATATGTATTATGAAAAAATAAAATAAAATGTTGACATTGCCTGAATTGATTTGGAGTATGTCCGTTTGTGTTGAAAAAATAATTTATGATGTATTTATTAGGACTAATCTATATATATAAATATAGAAAATATCATATGAGAATGACGCTTGATGCGAGATATGAGAATGATATTGGGTCATTAGATCTATCAAATTAATGGTTATGATCAAGTCAAATTATGATCAATCATTAATGGCAATATGGTAAATTAATACAAATTGTGGTCAAATGTACATATTTGACTCATTATTAAGGTTATTTTAGTCATTATAAATCAATCCAACTCATCATGTGGAACCCACCACAAACCACCCCAATTTCTCAATTTCTCTCTCCCTAAATCTCCCTCACACGCACAGGACCCCCAATTTCTCTCTCCCTGCTTCTCTCTCACATCACAAACGCACAACACAATTGCTCACACACACACACAAAATTGCACACAAAATTCGACCAGACGGAGGAGAATTGGCGCGGCGGCGACGGAGACAAAGCGACGTGGCGGAGGCGGAGGCGAGATGACACGGCGGCGGACGGGCTCAGACGACGGGTGTGGCGTTGGACGGAGGTGAATCGATCGACGGCTGTCGGAGACGAATCGAGCGGCGGCAGACGGAGAAGATGCGATTAGGCGACTGTGAAGCTCGAGCGGCGACGGACGGACGGGAGACAGTCAGCGACGAAGCCTTGTAGACGACGACCAAGGGAGATGTTTGGTATTCTTTTCCGACAGGTATCGGAGGTGGCCGCGGCGTGTTTCGGTGGAGCGGGGCTGTCGCGGTGTCTAGTGCGGCCTTGACGAGGGTCAGGCGGCGGCGGGGCTGCCGGATGAACAGTGGACTGTTTGTGGTTGGAATTTGATTGGTTGGAATGTAATTTGTGGGGCTTACCTTTGAGAATTTGATAGTCTATAGGACTTAATTGCAATTTTTTTAAAGTTTAACTTATTCCAATTTAGTTCAATTCAGATTTTAGGTTAAATATGTAATTTACTAAAAAATCTTCATATTTAAAAAATTTGATAATTGCACGGTACGGTTCACTGCATTGCACTTTATAATTCAACACATTGCACATTATTATTCAGTGCATTGCACAACAAAATGATAATTAATTTTGCATATTAGTGAGTGTCTGTATATACATTAAAAATTAAAAAAATTACAAAAATATCAACGAGCTGCAAAATGTAAAATAATTTTCATTCTTTGGTTCGGTTGAACTGGCTGGCCAAAATGTTAAAATTGAAATAATCGAGTCGAACTTTTGGAAAAGTTAAATCGAATAGAAGCACATGGTTTATTCGGGCGGTTAGCCGAATTAACAAAAAAATATTTGGATTCAATTATACTTGATGTTATAAGAAAAATACTGTTTAAAATGTTAATAATTTTATTGATCTATAAAGTGTATTACCGAGATTTTATAAGTATAAAAATAATAATTGAAATGAATTATATTGAACCAACCGAACCTTTTTTTGTCCCAAATCGAGTTGGAAATGATCATAATCAGTGATTTATTCCGTTCGGTTAACCGAATTATATTAAACAATCGAAATAATTTGGTGTTTATAATAAATTTATTTTCAATATGAAAATATTATTATTTATGATTTTTGTATATTATTTTTTGTTGAGTAAAATTGGGTTAGGTCGGATTCGATCTCTAATGCGCAATCTGACATTTATAAATTAATATTATTTTTTCCATATAGTTCATCAAAGTTGGTTATTTTGTTTCTTAAAGAAAAAAAAAAAAAACTAAATCCGACATTTATTCAACTAATAGTAATCGATCGATTAACATAATTAGAACAATTTTGGTAGATGTAGCGTGGTGTTTTTAAGGTGCAACATGTTGTGTTATAAAGTGCAATTTACTATTGTATAAAGTGCAACATGTTTACGGTGCAATAATGAAATTTTGATACGTTAGCATGCCTGTGTTTTGCGATGTAATGTATATTAAAATATTATGTAGATCCGTTTACAAATTTATATTGAGTAATATTTTAGTGACAACTATTGACATTAATTGTGGATTGTGATGATAAAGTGCAACGTGTTCTTTTATAAAGTGCAGCGTGTTGTTTTATAAAGTGCAATATTATGCTATATAAAGTGCGTTAATTTATACCTTCTCGTATAAATTACGTGTATTCGAAAACTAGTTTTAATATTATTTGTTATTTTTATAAAGTGAAATTATGTAATTTTCATATTTTTGTCCCAAGTCAAATTTTTTATATATTAATAATTTTATTTGTTATTTTTATATTATTTTCGGTTAAAAAATTTTGAGTCCGGCTTCTATGTACAATCCGGTAGTCGTGATAAAGTGCAACATGTTGTGTTGTAAAGTGCAACATGATGTTTTATAAAGTGCAACATATAGACATATAAAGTGAAATTATTTAATTTATTATTTTCATAAATTAGTTTTATTATATATAATTATAAATGTAATTACACTAACTAATTGACATATTTGTATTATTTGTTATTTAATTACATTAACTAATTGACATATTTGTATTATTTGTTATTTAATGCAAAAAATTTTATGCAGACATCATCATAGAATTAGAAGCAACATCTTAACTTTTAATATTACAGATTTGCCATGATGTCATAATTGAAATATAAGTAAAATTTATAAATTGCAATTAGACCCTTTATCCCTTTCTAATTTTCAAAAAAAAAGTCCTAACTCAATTAACCATGACAGGTGTTCGGATCTTCTCCAAGCACAGATCTCCGCCCAATTTGACGCAATTGGAGATAGAAACTCTAATCGTTCGATCAACAACACCAGAAACTTCTTGTTCGGGGTTGATGGAAGGTCGATTGGTCGCTAATGGAGGTCGTCGGAGTTAGACGGAGGCGGAGGAGGGCTGCCTGTTGTGACGAGGTTGTCGCGATTGGAAGGTCGCTGAGATGAATTGGGATAGATGATGAAAGCACCGCGACGACGGAGAGAACGACGACGATTTGCAGAGGACGTTCGGCTGCGGCGGTGGCGCAGTGGCGTCGATGGTGTATCAGAGGCGGAGTCGTGGCGGAGACAGCAGCGTGATGACGACGGCGGCGGCTATGGATGTCTGAAGATTTAGCCGGTAAGTGTGCGTGTTCGCCGGCAAATGTGTGATGTGTGTGTGCCGCGTGGGTGTGTACTGTGTGTAATGTGTGTGTGCGTGTGAGAGAAATACAGAGTGTGTGAGAGAGAAAGAGGGTGACGTGGGTGAAAATTCTGGGAAGTGGGAATGGGGACGATTGATTGATTTAAATTGGATGTGGGGCCCATTGGATAGTGGTGTGTGAATACTGTCCATAATACCCTTAATGATGATACAATATTGGCTTTTTTCCAGCCATTAGATCATTCGATCTAAT